CTTGATGAGTTCTGAATGCTTGATCAGATTAGCTGAACACTACCCGCCCCAGGGTTGAGATGAGGGTTTTTTCTGAATAGAAAAGAAACTCCTACTTCGAAGGCTCAGAGGGGTTGACGAGGGTCTATCTCCCTTATATCTCCAGTATTTAGGGATTGAAACAAGGCCTGTACATCGTCAGCAGGGTCTTACTCAAAAGCGTACCGACCAGAGATTTTTGTGTTTTCAGATTGTCATCATCCTCCTTTGAATCTTTACCTAAGCATAAGACTAGGAAATCTGGCATCAATATGCAAGTAAAAAATTTAAAGAGTGATAACGAATGGATGAGTAAAAATGAAAGGAACACTTCAAGACAAGCATACTTATTGCATTAAGATTTTCGTTCAAAAATAGACAAGTTTCTATATACAAGCAATGTTTAAACAAACAAGCAAGAATGCAAATGAAAATGCAGTAAAGAAACCAATGATTGCCATTGTTGAGGAGACTTGACTCCGTATGGACTTGCTGATTCTGACGACTTTCTGTAGTCTTGATGCTCGAGTGTGCGAGAGCCTTCCCCTTTCAGATCTGATGTGAGCACAGTAGTCTCTGGATTGAGCCTGTCTTGGACATTGTCTTTGGATGACATACCATCTTCAATCGATTGGCCAGGTGCCCCAGTATAATATGCATCACCAAGCATATCATGTCTTAAAGAAATAATAGACATCATTATCAGAGTTTCCATGACCTGGCTTATCTGAGTATTTAATCCATTATCTTCCTGCTTGAAGAAATTTACGACCACAAGCCGAAACTTGCATGCATATCACTCAGATTTATTCCATAACTGATCTCTGGTGACGGTAAGAATCAAGTTAAACCTTTGAAGAAAGCCCCAGGTCTGAATAAGAATCCCCAATCTTCGGGTACCTGCTATGAATGCATGAATGTGCATGGGGGTGCATGAATGAATGTCATGTCATGTTCTGTCATTTCCAAGGAATTTGCGTGCTTTGATTTTGATTTTACGCAAGTAAGGGATGGAAGAATTTTGGCACAAGACTTGCAAATATGATTCCTTGAAAATAACAAAACATGTATGTTAAGCATGTGGTTAGCCATGTTATGTATGAAAAGGCATGAGATCAAAGAGGATCAGGGTTCCATCATTCCTGAATATGATTGATGCACTATTCTGAATCATGTGAGTATCATCAGATCAAAGGTCCGACATAGCTTCTGCATATATAAGAACCAAGTACCATGTGGATCTCCCATTGTACGGGGTCAAGGCTTCTGGAACATCAGATACTGTTGAGAATTTCTGAACATGCTGGGAATACCAAGATTGAAGGCTTGAATGAACCTCCAGGTAAACGAGTCAGGAACTCAGAAAATAAATCTGAGAACCATATGGTCACCAACAGGATATAGCATCTGCATAAAGTCATAACAGAAATCCAGAATATAGCCGTTAGAACCAATAGTCACCGTCTGATCATAGTCACCATCTGAGCATGAGTAACCATCTGAACATAGTCACCAGTTGTACCTGTAATAAGAATTCCCTCCCCGCTCACGGTGAAAACTAGGTCAGGGTAAGGCAATGGCAACTCAGAATCGAGGGTACTCCTGAAAAACTATCGCCGTATCACCTACGTGAAAATGATAGCCCCTCATTTGTACCTCATATGAGCGTGGACGACATGGCGGCGATAGTGAGACCTAAGTCAACTAGCCGTTCATGTTCCACTATATTCCTAGGGTTCCTATGGTATACAGCTCTGGCTTGGGTATTAGGCCTTTTACCTCATAGTAACACCCACCCAATAAGAAGCAGATCCAGTACAACAATAGTATATGGAAGACAGTAAAATGCAATGCATACGTATACTCAAGTATATACAAAATGAATGAATAAACTGAAAGCATAAAGATAAACACCCAAATGAAAGAAAGCAAGAGCTAGGAGCGACTCCGGGATAGACCAACATTTGGTCGACCTGTCCCCAGTGAAGTCGCCAGCTGAAACAACCGGCTGAAAATCATCAAACAATGAAGTCGCCATCGAACGTCTTTTATCCCACATGTAGGGAAAGGTAAACATCGAGAAAACCTGAGAAGGGAGAAGTCACGGTCTTGCGACCGAGAGATTGGGTAAGGGAGTCTATTACGCGAGGGGAAGGTATTAGCATCCCACACGCCCGTAGTACTCTACGGTATCCACTCTTGTTATCTATCTTATGGGTGTGTTCAATCTATGCTTACTGTTTATTATACTACTGGAGGGAGAATGAATGCAAAAGAAAGGGGAAAAGAATGTAGGGAAAATAAAATTTTGCTCGCCTCGGCCCTACCCCAATGCCTACGTATCCTTTTTGAGGAATCAGAGCTACCGTAGTTCGGCTCACATGTTTTTTGTTTGTTTATCTTTTTTATGGACAATGTTAATTCCGCCTTCTGCCGCAGCTCGACCTTTGGAGACTTATGCGTTGGCACAGAAGTAAACTAATCATGTCCTTACCTGAAAAAGGGTTTAGAGAAAAGGTGCTCGAGCGCACAAAATGATTTGAATTTGTTTTGTGTTTTGTTACCTTGAAAAAGGGTTTAAGTATGATTAGCATGTTTTTGATTTGCTAAGAAGAGAAGTTTTTGTTTTGAATGCAAGGATGCAAAAGGGGTAAGAAAAGAGTCTAAGGGAGACTATCCTATTTCTAACCTAACGTTATCATACAATGGTGGTCCTAAGGTTTGGATTAACAAAAGGGAAACGTCTACCTAATGTCAGCATGCGTGGTTTACAACCTGAGGTCTAACTTGCATCCGAATGGAGCAAGCGCATCCTAGGGGAACATGGTATGTACAAGGATGAAGCAAGCAAGCCAGCAAAAAGGAAGCACACCTAAAGGGATCCTGCATAGGTTATCATGTCTAAGAAAAGTCTAAAAAAAGCTATCCTATAGGGAGCATGCAATGAGAGCGAAGTCGTGATCTCAATTTCTAAATTGAGTGACTCATCGATCAACAAGAAAGTAAAGAAAGCGATAAAGTCCTATAGGGAGCATGCACTGAGAGCGAAGTCGTGATCTCAATTGCTAAATTGAGTGACTCATCGATCAACAAGAACGTAAACAAACACAAGCACAACACATATAGAAAATGAAGTGTAGAATGCCTGCTACAGGTCTTTAAACAGCGACTTCGAGCACACGCTCTTTATTTCCTACTTCTCATGATATCTAGAAAAGCGGTAAAGTGCAGAAATGAGGAGTAAAATGAGGTTACGATGGTACCGAACGGAGAAGGTCCGTTGCCTCTTCATAATCACACAAGCAATGAGAAAACTCGGCATAACTTCGAGTAAGCATCAAAGCATCATCAACGTGAAAATAAATCACAAGCGAAAGGTACGCCAATCATATCCGAATATCACACAATAAACCAAATGAACAAGATTTCGTAGCACCACAAGCAAAGAAGAGAAACCCGGAAAACTACGAGGGATATATGAATCATCATGTGATAGTCCTGCACGAAGATACAAAACTATACAATGCAAAATACTCCGCTAATGTCTCATGGTGCGAGAAATCTCCGTTGGAAGGTTGCACAAAAATACACCAAACGAGTTAGCAATTAACAAGGAAATGTAACTCAAAACTCAAGCGCCCATTCAAGGATCATAACCTACCACTAATCATTAATTATGCTAGGGAAACTGAATCAAGGATACATAATCGACAAAGACACGCCAAATTCCTAATTCTAATCATGTATCGAGTCATTAATTCAATTTATTCCTAAACTAATAGAAAATTAAAAAATCATATCATCAAATCAGAAAACATCATGCTAAGGCTCATACAAAATTTCAGTCGAAAATCGTACAAGAAACATTAAAAATTAATTGCTAAAAATTTAAGAACAAGATGAGAATTAGTGTAGAACAGGGGAGTGCAAGGCTGAATCTGGGTGGTGTGCAGAAGCAGGCGCTGAAAGCCCAAGGGAGATAGTCCAATAAGCCAATTTTTTTGTAACATATCATTCAGACTTTCAAAAAATGCGATGATGGGCTCAAAGAGGAAGAAATTCCGGTCCTGCCCTTTGAACACTATCAATCCAATTTAAGCATAATTACTATTATTGCATTGAAAAGATATAAAGGAAAATATATAAAAAAAAAGAAGAAGTAAAACGACATCATGTATTGTGCTTAGGGTTTTGAGTTTTGATGCTTCAACTTGTTAGAAACAGAGTCTATTTGCTTTATCTCTCTCACGTCGTTCCCCAACTTCGCTTCATCTTTTTCTCCAATCAACCTCATCTTCTCTCACCGTCATAGCCGCCGTGAACAACGGTTCGACCTCCAACATCGCAAGCACGCGATTGCGACCAGCTCCTGACGTAACCGCACACATAGATCGAGCAACGGTCGCACCCACACAACACCGGAAACAACGCTCCCTCCGAAGCCACCACTAATCATTAATTATGCTAGGGAAACTGAATCAAGGATACATAATCGACAAAGACACGCCAAATTCCTAATTCTAATCATGTATCGAGTCATTAATTCAATTTATTCCTAAACTAATAGAAAATTAAAAAATCATATCATCAAATCAGAAAACATCATGCTAAGGCTCATACAAAATTTCAGCCGAAAATCGTACAAGAAACATTAAAAATTAATTGCTAAAAATTTAAGAACAAGATGAGAATTAGTGTAGAACAGGGGAGTGCAAGGCTGAATCTGGATGGTGTGCAGAAGCAGGCGCTGAAAGCCCAATGAAGATAGTCCAATAAGCCAATTTTTTTGTAACATATCATTTAGACTTTCAAAAAATGCGATGATGGGCTCAAAGAGGAAGAAATTCCCTTTGAACACTATCAATTCAATTTAAGCATAATTACTATTATTGCATTGAAAAGATATAAAGGAAAATATATAAAAAAAAAAAAAAAGAAGAAGTAAAACGACATATGTATTGTTCTTAGGGTTTTGAGTTTTCATGCTTCAACTTGTTAGAAACAGAGTCTATTTGCTCTCACGCCGTTCCCCAACTTCGCTTCATCTTTTTCTCCGATCAACCTCCTCTTCTCTCACCGCCATAGCCGCCGTGAACAACGGTTCGACCTCCAACATCGCAAGCACGCGATTGCGACCAGCTCCTGACGTAACCGCACACATAGATCGAGCAACGGTCGCACCCACACAGCACCGGAAACAACGCTCCCTCCGAAGCCACCACGAGCAGCCAAACCAATATCGGAAAAATAGAAAAAGAAGAGGAAGAGAATCGAGACACAACATTACCGGTGAAAGCACCACCCCGTCGACGGCATCTCCCTCTGTGGCAACCACCATGGCCTCCCTCGATTTCAGATCAACCGCCACCACTGTTGTGAGTTTCATTTTTTCTTTCTTTGTCGCGGCTTTAACCGGTCACTACAATCACCGTCTCCGTTCCTCTCTTTTACCGATCCAAATCTCACTCGCCTCCATCACGTTTCAGTTCCGCTTTCCTCTCGCGTATCACCTTCATCACAATGACAATGTACGGTGCTTCTTCGATCTTTCTTCTTCTACCTTTTCGTTGTTTTTGCGTTCTTTGAGTTATTGTGATATTGATGCAGTGTTGTCGCGAAGTTGATTATTCGTTCTTGATGCAGGTGCATTGCAGAATTAATCTTGAAGAACCAAGAAAGATGATGATGTTGCAGGAGTAATAATTATGAAGGTTGAAGATATGTTGAGGCTGAAAGTTATTGATGAAGATGAACCATGAAGATGCTTAAACTTGTGGTTCAAAGAGAACGATGAAGATTGATGAAGCAGATTAATTCTGTTAGGAGTTGTTTGGTTGTTTGATTGCAGTTAGTTTGTTGGAATCTGTTAGAAGCGGTTAGTTTCTGTTTGATTGCAGTTAGTTCCGCTTTCCTCTCGCGTATCACCTTCATCACAATGACAATGTACGGTGCTTCTTCGATCTTTCTTCTTCTACCTTTTCGTTGTTTTTGCGTTCTTTGAGTTATTGTGATATTGATGCAGTGTTGTCGCGAAGTTGATTATTCGTTCTTGATGCAGGTGCATTGCAGAATTAATCTTGAAGAACCAAGAAAGATGATGATGTTGCAGGAGTAATAATTATGAAGGTTGAAGATATGTTGAGGCTGAAAGTTATTGATGAAGATGAACCATGAAGATGCTTAAACTTGTGGTTCAAAGAGAACGATGAAGATTGATGAAGCAGATTAATTCTGTTAGGAGTTGTTTGGTTGTTTGATTGCAGTTAGTTTGTTGGAATCTGTTAGAAGCGGTTAGTTTCTGTTTGATTGCAGTTAGTTCCGCTTTCCTCTCGCGTATCACCTTCATCACAATGACAATGTACGGTGCTTCTTCGATCTTTCTTCTTCTACCTTTTCGTTGTTTTTGCGTTCTTTGAGTTATTGTGATATTGATGCAGTGTTGTCGCGAAGTTGATTATTCGTTCTTGATGCAGGTGCATTGCAGAATTAATCTTGAAGAACCAAGAAAGATGATGATGTTGCAGGAGTAATAATTATGAAGGTTGAAGATATGTTGAGGCTGAAACTTATTGATGAAGATGAACCATGAAGATGCTTAAACTTGTGGTTCAAAGAGAACGGTGAAGATTGATGAAGCAGATTAAGATGAAGGAATGGTGAGTGATATGTGGCTTCTGGTTTTTTCTGGTGAGTTTCCTCTCTATCTAATTTTCTGACTTTTTTCACTTATGCTGGAAGTAGTTTCTGTTAGGAGTTGTTTGGTTGTTTGATAGGTTACAGTTAGTTTGTTGGAATCTGTTAGAAGCGGTTAGGATGTTTGATTGGTTACAGTTAGTTTGTTGGAATCTGTTAGAAGCGGTTAGGATTTAGAAACTGTTATGGGAATTCTGGTAGCTGGACTGCTATTTCTCCTATTTTTGTTGACAAGTTGTTATGGAATTTGTTGGAGTTTGTTGAGAGTCTCCTGGAAATTAGTTACAGGGTTGTTATGAGCAGTTGGAAACTGTTAGGGATATTAGGAACAGTAATTTTGAAGTTAGTTGGTTATTGTTATAGAAGTTACAGTTGGGATTTTCTGTTGAAGTTTGTTAGAAACAGTTAGTAGACTCTCTTGAAGCACTAATATATATTAATTGTTACTGTCACTTTTTTATCATCACCTTTTCTACTTTCTGTCAATTGCTTTTTCAGAATTATAATCACCTTCAATTACTTCATTGCAATTATGGATAATTCCCGTCTACCTATTACATCTAAACCCACCTCTTCTACCCCTAATTACAAGAAGTCATCTGAAGAAATAACTGAAGACTCACCGGCAGAAGCCGTAGCCAAACAATCTCCATCGTTATCACCCATCAAGGATCCACCACAAAAAGTTGGCGAAACATCCACTGATGGGCAGTCTGGGTTTAAAGAAAATCCCATTAAAGATTCGTCACCATCGTCACCCATCATCGAGTCGCCACAAGAAACTAAAATTTCCGAAGGCGAGCCATCACTTGAAGCAGTCAAAACATCTGGGTGTGAGCCTTCTCCTGACGAAGACCCCCATACTAAAAGGGAGGTAACACTGCTGCAATTTTATTGGTTTATTTCGGACTTGACTTATAAGTTTTTGTTGGCCATGGGAGGGTATGTTGGATTTTTTGTTCAACAAAAGGAATGGAAAGAGTTGAAAGAACAGAAAAGTACGTTGACTTCTATTGAAGTAATTGGTTTCTTAGCACACACTTGGTTTGTCAAGGAGTTTTTTCTTCTGTCTTGTAACCGCACAGCTTTAAAGTTTGCTTGGAGCATCATTTTCAACATATTGATGTGCGGTGTTATTGCGGGAGTAACTGGAAAACTGTTTTTCGGTGATCTGCTGGCGTTTCTATTTATTTTGCAGTGGTCATTACTTTTTTTTTGGTTTGTATATAAGAAAGTGAGAACAGTATTTCACAAAAATAATGTGTAATCAATAATAATAGCACAGCTTCTAAATTTGCTTGGAGCATCATTATCAACATAATAACATATCCCCTGCATGGGGTTGTTTGTTTTTCTGTAATCTGCTGGCTTGTTATATAAATGTCTTCCTCTATTTGTGCGCTAAATTTTGTTCATGAAGAATTATACTAGGTTTCACCACTAGTGAAAATTTCTCGTGGAAATCCATGTTCTTGATGAAATCCCTTAGCTATTAATTGTGCCTTGATTTATACTCGCACTTGTTTAGATGCCTGGGATTGCACAAAGTACTTTTTAGGATGAAATTCGAAAAAGATATGATTATCTTTGGTAAATTTGGAAACTGGCATGATTGTTAAGAATAAGAAATATAACTAATTGTTTTATGTTTTGGAATTATGGGGTGTTTTGAGTGATCACTGCTCAGCTTAATTTAGTCATATAAATAAGAGTTTAATTAATAAGTTGTTTTTCAAATCCACGGAGTGAAGCGATAAACTCTATATTAACTTTGTATAAATACTTGTTTTGCGTGTAAACTTTCTTCAATAGACTAGCTGAAAATTGTAAACTTTGTAGGGCATCCTGTTTTGGAAGACATTATGGAATTGAATTTGGTACGAGCTTTGTAGTTTCTTAGAACTATTATGTGTGACGTATATATTTGTATTCCTCTTTCTCCTTTAGCAATTTTTTTTGTTTATTTTCCTCGTGTAGTTAAAGTTATGGTTGAGTTTTGTTAGTAACTACTGGATATTTTTTCAGATAAACAGTCCCTCAATCAATGAATGCAAGGCTGAAGGAAACAGCAAAGACTTTCGAAGAAAACATGAAGTTCCCCCAGGTACTTCTAAATTGTAATCAAACACAGCTCCACAAGCTCAATATGCATCTTTAAGAAAAATGTGGTAGTTTATTGTTTCTTTCTGGTATCCAAGGCAACCTTTGAACCTGAAGTTAATTATAGGTCCTAAAAAGAAGGTTTGCGAAAGCCGAGAACCATTTTCTAGATACACTTTGCACAATTTTGTTTAATATTGATGTCATAGTCTGCTTTATCATCTTATCGACTTTAACTTTAAAAGGAGCCACTGTTATTAGCTTGCTTCCTGGGAGCAGAGTACAAGAAGTCAGTCGGATGCTTCCCATTTTCACAAACACAATGGAACTACTGAAAGACAATGTTCCACAGTTGATGACAATCATTCATGTTGCCCCTAATGAACACGTGGAAAACTTCATTGCCGGTGCTGTTCATAGATGGCCTGTCCCTGTTGTATTAATTCCTGGTGGAACGACACACATGAGATATGATGCTTTTAGTGTACGCCCCATTGTCTCATTAAACTTCCATTTGGAGAAAAAATTCTTTTCAGCTTCTGATGTCAATACTTTGCAGTAGTAGTGATGCATGTATTAGTGTATACAGCTGTTAGTAGTTGTATTGGGTTGTTATAACTGCTTAGACAGTTATATATAGTTAGAAAATAACCATCCAATGTATGCTTTTGTTGAATAAATAAAAATACTCTTTCCTCATCTCTACTTTCTATTCTCTCTCTCTCTCTATATTCTCCCTCTCTCCCCTATCATTGGTATCTAGAGCCTGTCGACCTCGGCCACATCATTCATGGCAGAAGCGACGCGAATGCAGAACGCCATTCGTGAGGCAGAGGAACGCATAATGACGGCGGTGGAGCCATGTATCACGAGGCAAATTCGTGAATTGGAGAACCGTTTCGAAACTCAATTCACCAATGTGCAAGAAGCCATGCGCGGAATTGGATTGCAATTGGCGGAATTAACGGCGGCGCGTCGCCATGGTGGCAACGGCGACGGAGCAACTCGACCAGCAACGCGATTAACGCGTCTGGATTTCCCAAAATTCACTCGCGACGATGTCGAATCTTGGATTGCAAAATGTGAACGTTTTTTTTTGTTGGATAGAACGCAAGAAGGGGACAAGGTCTCGGTTGCGAGTATCGCTCTTGATGATAACTCTTTTCGTTGGTTCCAAAGTCTAGAACAGGGATCGAATGGCCGATTGACATGGCAGAATTTCACCGAGGCATTGAAGATGCGATTTAGCCTCGAGTTCGATTCGCCTATGGAAGAACTCAAGAAATTGGTACAGACTGGTTCGCTGGAGGCGTATCAGGAATCGTTTGACAATCTTGTGGGTAGAACAACGTTGACGGAATCTCAAAAGCTCCAATGCTATTTGGGAGGCCTTCAACAGGAATTGTGTAATGGTGTGAAGATGTTCGCTCCGCGAACGGTGTTGGAAGCTACTCGTATGGCAAAGTTGCAAGAACGAAGTTTGGAATTGTTACAGAAACGATTGGGGCCTGCAAATCGAACACAAGGTTCTTGGAGTGAGAAGAAGAATACAGTTTCTCACACCTTTGACAAGAAAGTGATGCCTCAGGAGAAGAAAGGAAATATCGAAGGTTCTCAAAAGAGCGTTTTGGGAAAGCCGGCATATACGTTTCAGAAGAAACTTTCTCCGAAAGAAATGGAGGAACACAGGGCTCAAAACTTGTGTTTTTTCTGTCATGACAAATTCTTTCCTGGACATGATTGTCCTCAGAGGAAGAAAATGCAAGTTTTCCTTATGGAGGTTGGGGAGGAAAACCAATTGGACACAATGGGAGCTGATTCTGTTCCTGAGGAAATTTCTAATGATCCTACTCAAGGTGTTGACCCTACTGTTTCACTTAATGCCATTCAGGGAGACTCTTCTCATCCTATGATGAGATTGATAGGATGGATGGGCAAAAAGAGAGTTCATGTACTCATAGACACAGGCAGCACACATAATTTCATCAACCAGAAATTATGTAAAGAGGGGCTCAATACTCTACAACCTATGCATCCCTTGCGGATAACTGTAGCTGATGGCGGTCTTATACAAGGTACAGGACGGTGTGAAGGCATCCGGTTAAAGCTTCAAGGGTATGATTTTCTTACTAATGCTATTGCAATACCATTGTCCAGTTGTGATATTATATTGGGCATGCAATGGTTAAGGCAATGGGGAGTCATCCACTGGGATTTTACCAATATGGCTATGGAATTTTCTATGAATGGTATGCCGGTGAAGTTGCAGGCTGTTAAAGAAATTAAAAGTAGCATAGTTTCAGCTTCTAAATTGCATCAGTTAATGGTTGAAGACAGTTTCTGTTATATGCTACAATTGCTACCTTGTTCCACAGAGGCAATGTGTTGTTCAGTGACCACTGAGGAGCTACAGGATCAGGTGATGATGGCTCATAGAGAATCTGTTTTACATGAGTTCCAAGAGGTCTTTGAAACACCTACTCAGCTGCCACCCTTTAGGGGTATTCATGATCATCAAATTATGCTAAAGGAGGGTTCTAATCCGGTTAGTTTAAGATCTTATAGATACTCCCCAGCTCAAAAGGATGTCATTGATGGCATGGTTAGAGAGCTCTTGGATTCGGGAGTAATTCAACCAAGCTCTTCCCCTTTTGCTTCTCCAGTTGTGTTGGTCAAAAAGAAAGATGGGAGTTGGCGAATGTGTGTAGATTATAGGCGGTTGAACGAAATGACGGTGAAGGCTAAATTCCCAATTCCTTTGGTGGAGGACTTATTGGATGAATTAGGTGGGGCAATGGTGTTTTCTAAACTGGATCTTAGGGCGGGATATCATCAAATAAGGATGAAAACGGAGGACGTACCAAAGACAGCGTTTCAAACTCATGGGGGGCAGTATGAATATGTGGTGATGCCTTTCGGCTTGTCCAATGCACCAGCTACTTTTCAAGGAACAATGAACACTATTTTTTCTGGTTTATTGAGAAAATGTGTTCTTATTTTCTTTGATGACATACTAGTGTATAGCCCATCTCTGGAGGCACACGTGGATCATCTGCGACAAGTGTTTCAAATCCTCAAAGCTCACACCTTCTATGTTAAGAGAAGTAAATGTGCATTTTTCACAACACGGATCGAATACTTGGGTCATTTCATTACACCTACGGGAGTTACTACTGACCCAATTAAAGTTCAAGCTGTGACAGATTGGCCGGTGCCTCAAACTGTTAAGCAATTGAGGGGATTTTTAGGATTGACGGGTTACTACAGGCGGTTCATTAAAGGTTACAGCATCATTGCTTCTCCTCTTACTGATTTACTCAAGCGAGATTCTTTCCATTGGACACAAGAGACGCACGCTGCCTTCACTGCATTGAAAGATGCTTTGAGTAATTCTCCGGTGTTGGCCATCCCTAATATGCAAAAGCCATTTGTCGTTGAAACAGATGCTTCGGGCACGGGAATTGGGGCTGTGCTAATGCAGGACAGGCACCCTGTGGCTTTTATTAGCAAGGTTTTGTCTCCTAAAAACAGGTTGCTGTCAGTTTATGACAGAGAATTATTAGCATTGGTTCATGCAGTCTCTAAATGGCACCAATATCTTTCTTTGAACACATTTACAATTCTTACTGACCAACATAGTTTGAAGTACCTATTGGAGCAACGCCTATCGACTCCAGCCCAATATAGATGGGTCACTAAGCTCATGGGCCTTTCTTATGAAATTTTGTATAAGAAGGGTAAGGATAATGTGGCTGCAGATGCCTTGTCGAGAGCCTCGCACGGTGAAGTTTTACAATTGACCGTCTCTTCTATTTCTTCTGAGTTATGGGACTCTCTCCTTAAAAGCTATGAACAAGATTCAGCTTTGCATGACCTCAAGCTGCAGGTTCTCGCTAACCCAACCTTGCATCCCCATTTCTCTGTTTTGGACAATTTACTGTATAGGAAACAGAAGCTGGTCATTCCTAATGACGGGCAAGTGCGATTGGTGATTCTACAATGGACACGTGGAAAACTTCATTGCCGGTGCTGTTCATAGATGGCCTGTCCCTGTTGTATTAATTCCTGGTGGAACAACACACATGAGATATGATGCTTTTAGTGTACGCCCCATTGTCTCATTAAACTTCCATTTGGAGAAAAAATTCTTTTCAGCTTCTGATGTCAATACTTGTTGCAGTAGTAGAAAATTGGTTTAACTTCTTACATATCTTACATGAAGGTTGCATTTTGTGCCAAGTTAATTTGAATCAACACATTACAGGCTAGTAAAGTTGCATTGTGCACATCCGGGACAGTTGCTGTGGAGCTGCAGCTTGCACGCTTACCTTGTGTTGTGGCATATCGTGCCCATATTTTGACTGAATGGTTTATTAGGTACAAAGCCAAGATACAATACATATCACTTCCAAATATTCTTTTGGATTCAGCCATTATTCCCGAAGCACTTTTTCAATCCTGCAAACCGGAAAACCTAGCTCTGTTGCTCAAGTAAGAGTGAAGCATTATTTCATTTGCGTTACTAATTCTGAATGTCTCAAAAAGCTTAGAATATGTTCGTCACAGGAAGTATTTATTTCTCATATTTGACATTATGTGCTGCCTTTATTTTGCAGAGATTTAATACATGATCATGTTTGTCGAGAAAAACAAATACTTTCAGCGCAAAAGTTTGTCGAGCTTCTAATGCCTTCAGAAAGAATAAACCAGAACCTTGCAAAGCAAAGTTTGTTGGGAGAATGTCTTGATTACAGTCCAAGTGCTGTTGCAGCATTGACTATATTAAACTTTGGGAAGCCTGTGATTCATGACTAATAAACAAGTTTATGTGGCATTGAATTTATTACCACTAACGTTTAGATGCAAATCAGTTACTTGTTACTATCAGAATAAACATTTTCTGTTGATACATAACTAGTGAGAATAGCTTTCAAAAGTGTAGAGTCAATTTAGGGGTAAATTTAGGTAGGCCACGATTTCGCAGGGATGGAAGCGGTTTTCTGGGTCTGTGATTTGGTGTCGGACATGTGGTTTCCTGGTCTGTGGTATCACTTAAATGAAAGTGCACTTTTAACCATTGATTGAAAAATTGATGATTGATATTTAGACTATTTTATAATTCGTTGTTTATATTCGATGATTTTTAAGGAAATATTTGTAGTAAAAGAACCATCAAAATATTTTCTTGCATGATTAGAATGAGCTTTGCAACAAAAACTATTAGTTGTTGAAAAATAAATATTTTAAAAAAGTTGATTAACTTTTTATGTATGTACGTAGTATGTTCAAATTTTTTTGGTAAGGATTTTATTATTCACTTAAATGGTATAAGTAATTTTATTATTCACTTAAATGGTAGTACAAATAATGATATAAACTATGATTATTTATATAGACAATTTCTTAATGCATCCTTATGTCTTCGTAGAAGTCTTTGGTGAATTTTCCATAATACTCCCTTATTTCGGATATGCACATTTGAACTCACCACGTTGTAGTTTTTATCAAATAGATTCGAAAATGCATATCTGAAATCACCAAATAGTAACTTTCAGACACATATCCGAAATAAACTTTGACTTTCAAATAGAATAAAAAACCTTTAAACCAAAACAACTTAACATAGATAGTCGAAATTACATAGATAGTGGAAAAGAAATTTAACATTACATATTATTATAAACGGATAGCTGAGGACGTCGCAACATTTTGATAACATCTTCTCCTGATCTTTGAAGCTTCACATCCACTTCAATCGGACCCTTGTAGAGTATCGGTAAAAAATACTTCACACAATACTTAAATCGTCATCCGTCTTCAATGAAAATTGGGTGAATTTTATCTTTCATTCAGTGTCAAGTGAGGGTGAATGATACTCGAGCTTGACCACCTTTCGATTTTTTGGATATTGCAAGAGAGAATTTAGTATGGTAATAAGCTCGACGAGAGGTGTGTTCTCGGAGAATCTAAATTGAAATGACGACTTCTCACCACTGAAGTAGACAAAGCTAAGGTGAGGATATGTTTGACTCATCTCTTCATAAAAATGAATGTTATTTCGAATATGCATATCTAAATTATGCAGAATCAGAAACATATTCTATTTTAGTAGAATCATTACTATAGAAACATGGAAAAAATTAAATCGGTAAATGTAAACAATGGTAAAATGTTGAATATATATGTTATACATGTATTGAATCATATATAATTTACATTTTGAACGACAATACATTCAAAAAATGGTTCGATTACATTCTAAAATGTACCGAAGGAATTGTCACCGCTTAAATCTAAAATCGATTCTTTCTTCGACTTTTCCCTATTTGATTCTCTCAAGCTCCGCCAATTAGGTGAACTCTGCTATCCTTTTCAAAAAGTGATCCGACCAAGTTTCCGCCTCTTTTCCAGAATGTGTCGTCCATTCCACTGATGTAGTCAGAATATGACACCCCCGTTTCAAATAAACCTGAACAAAATGGAACGATCTAAGATACCTAATACAAATGATGCAGCCAGATGGGTCTTGAGTTGAGCGACTTCAAAGCGGGAAAATGTCTTCGAAAAACCATATCTCGTTAGATCAATACACACCCTGTCATATGTATTTGTTATAAAATTTCCCATTTAAGAGAAGCACATCCACTTTGCAAATGGTGTGTTACCGCTAACTCATGGAACAAGAGCATTGTGAATTTTATCGAAATCTTCCTTTTTCCCACATAGTCGTGTGTAAAGGGCCTATGCCCTGTCAACTCCGACATAAGTATTTGACGCACAAGAGTGTAATTCTCCTCTCGTTTACAAAGTAAATCAGACACAACTCGAAACCTACAATTATCATCACCCCCACATCTATGATCCTTTCAATGTGTATGTGCATAAAAAACGACATCTCATCAATGAGGATAATCAGTGGTGGAATTAGTAGTTTTTTAATTGGAGGTGTAAGTGGTGGTTTTTTAATAGGCGGTGTACAAGGTGGTTTAGAAATGCGAGCTTCATTGAAAACACTTTTTTTTTGCGATTTTGGGGTTGGAGAATCTAGGAAATGTGAATCAACAACTTCATGGTAAGACGGAGTCCACGTAGTTGAACTGTCATCTTGTGTACTTTTCACCTTTTTTGGGCACCTTTGGTTTTTATCGATTGCGAAAGAGGTTTCAAATCAGTGGTTTCTGAATATGCGATTTTCCCCAACTGTTCTTTAATGTGCAATCTCATAGTGTCATCCGCTTTAGACAATCTATCCATGATGACTTCCAACTCGGTGGCAATAGTTATACTTGATGTACTGTCTTTCGTCGCACTGTAATATTATCAAAGCAGAGTCTTTTTCAATGTTAGATTCATGGTTTTGTGGATTGGTAATATTTTTCTAAAACATTGTTCTGATAAGATGTCAAATAAGATATCATGACATCATGCTCTGTTATGCAGCAGGCTTGCATTGTTGTTTTTAAATCTTGGTAGATTTGATTTGATTCTATTATATTTTCCTTTGAATATATATATAATAGATTTTCACAGGTCAAGAAGATTTGTTTTGGAATAGATTTGTATCTCCAGCTGTGTAAAAACTACTAAATTGGGCCTTGAGAGAATTTAGGAAACTATGTATTGGTTGTTCCAAGATTTAAGGAGATTTACTACACAATTAGTACATCACCCAACTTATAGATTAAAAAACTTTTGGATTCAGAATATCGAAGCCCATAGACCGCAGAGTTGTATTTAAAGGAGAATCCTAATTTAATGTAATTTAAGTTTTCAACAATTGTAAAATTAGGGGAAGCATAAGTCTTAGATTTTAAGAGTCTCTTATGTAGTTTATAAGTCACCCATGTATATTTTGATACTATATGGTCGATTGATTGTTGCTTGACTGTTAGTCAAGTTATTGTCCTCACTCAGAAGTCTTTAGGCAATGAGTTGAGTATTATTCTCACTCGAAGCTTTTAAGCAAGAGTTTGAGTTATTGTAATGGAAGTATGATCTTCTAAATTGAGTTGTATTTGTTGTAGTTACTGGAATTATGATTGTTAGATATCACTGAGGTGATTTAGGAACTGAGATGGCGATTTCTCATATTTAGGGAGGACCTAGGTAGAAGTTGCATTGGATACGAATTATGCAAGAAGTTATAAACGAGGGAGTTTAGCTTTGAACTAATACTGATGATAATGGACTTCCTTCCTGGCTTGGTAGCCTCCGAGTAGGTGATATTGCACCCAACTGGGTTAACAACTCATTGTGTTATTTATCATTCTTTAATTTTATTTTCTGCGTCATATTTAGCTTGATTGATCTGATTTGTTACTCGATGTTGTAACATCTATCTTGATATCATCTGCTGTTACAATTTTGTTTGTATGTGTTTTTTGTACTAGAATTTCATCCAATTTGATCATTTGTAAATTGTTTTCGAATATCTATCTCGACATCAATCTTTTTTAACATCGTCATTCTCCTCACCTGACTTAGCATCATCATTCACCTTGTTTGAAACCTTTACAACAATTTTGGAAACATGTCGGGGTGCACCATATCTAAAATGAGTAAAAACACATAAAATCTGTTAAAACTGTTTTTGTATATGCATATCTAAAATATAGTAGGTGGATTTTGGATATGCATATCCGAATTGACGTTGTTTTTTTCATGTCAAAATCAACATCAATACAAAAAAATGAGAGATGAAATGAGAAAAGTTTACCTTAAATTGCAGCTTTCTATGCTCTCTTTGATATGATAAAATACTTGAAACTTGATTTAGAGACGAAAAGTTGATTGATAATGATTTAAATTTTGTGGTAGGTTTTGATTACAGGGGGAAATGAAAAAAATGAAATAATAGAATAAAATAATACTAACATCTTATCAACCAATAAATATATTATAAATGGTATAAAATAACATATTTGATATTAATAATTATTATTTATTTTGAATATGTAACGTATTTCATTTTTAATATGATTTTATCAATCAAGAAATTTTTAATATTTCAAATAGCAAGATGTAGAGGAGCCACACTATCGTCTATACTCTTTTGAAAGAATAAATTTTGTTTATATTGTCCATATCATTTGTAGTATATACTTATAATTATCATACAAATTAAATATTAATACTAAATCAAAAAATCAAAAAATAATCATAAAATAGGGTCATAATCATGTTGCACGATAAAAAATGACAAAAGTTTCTAAACCAAAAGAAGAATATGCTTAAAATGATTCTATTACAATTTTTTTTTAGTTTCAAAATTGCAGAAAAACATAACCAACAATTAATAAAATATTAAATTAAAATATATATTTTATTGATGTTTTTGGTTTTTGATCTGTCCTGATCAGAAATGGACCGTCACGGCTGGCTCCGAGCAGAAAGCTTTTTTGAACGAGGTGGGGGGTACCTGCAAGACACTCCGATGCTGAAGTAAGTAGGAGTACGAGCAGATAATAGCAAGTTGAGGTTAGAATGATGAATACCTGACCCTCTGGAAACAGAGGGTATTTATAGCCTCCAGCGCTGGGCCAAGGTTCCTTCATTGGGCCGGGCGGATTTGGCCCAATGGAGGAACTGCCAGGTTCTACGTGGGTAGTGGGGACCCGCACGTGGTCCCCTTCCTGGATGTTCTGCGTGAAGTGCGGGCGGACGAAGACGCGGTCTTTCCGGAGTATCGTTGGGGGAACGGTGGACTGAGTCTGCCCTAGTTGGGATGCTCGAGACAACGTCGAACTGGACGGCAGGGTGTCGAGCTGGACGTTAGGACGTGGAGCTGGACGGCAGGATGTCGAGCTGGACGTCAG